GGCTTAGGCCTAAAATGTCGCAGTCCGACATTTCTATTTATCCCACCCTCTGATCTTTATAAGAAAAAGAACTTGCGAGCAAAACTTTTCCATCGCCTTGTTACTAATTTTAACTCCACCTCTTAGAAAAAGGGAATGGTTCTTTCTAAGGCCTCCTTAATGCAAACAAGAAAATGGCCCAAATTCCTAAGGGACTTGACAAATACTATCTATTTCTGAGATGTCCTGAGAGTCCAAAGCTGTAATGTTCTTAAGATGTAAAAAGGAATTCACAGTACCCAAAGTTGATGCTTGAGAAATGACCTCATAAATAATTAAGACCACCAGGCACGACAACTGTTAACAGTAGTGCATGTTTAGCAGATACTCTGTGCCAAAGATTGACTTATGAACTACACATACCTCATATCATGTAAGTCCAGCAACAATCTCATTTTAGAGATGAAAAAACTGGGGCTTGGAAACATGAAGTAACTTGCCCAAAACCATTGGTAGCTAAGTGGCACAATTAAAAGTAAGGAGTTTAAAACCAAGCTTTTAATCACTAAAATAAATTACTAAAATAAAAACCAACACAATAGTCTGAATAATAAAAATACAGAGAGATGTCTAATATTATGAATTTTTGTATTGATAAGAGAAACGCCAACTGTAATACTACTAGAAAAACACGCAGGAGGAAAGTTCCACTACACTGATCTGGGCACTGATTTTTGATGAAACCCCAAAAGCACAGGCAACAAAAATGGACAAATGACATTTCATCAAACTAAAAAGCTTCTGCACAGCAAAGCAAACAATCAACAGAGTGAAGAGACAATTTATAAAATGGGAGAAAATATTTGCAAACCATACATCTTATAAAGGGTTACTATCCAAAATGGATAAGAAACACAACTTAAAAGCAAGAGAACAAATAATTCAATTTTAAAATGGGGCAAAACAGGAAGGGAGATGTTGGTCAAAGGACATCAAATTTCAGTTAGACAGGAGAAGTAGGGTCAAGAAATCTATTGCACGATATGGGGGCTACAGTTAAAAACAAAGTATTGTATTCTTGAAAAATGCTAACTAAGAGAGATTTTAAATATCCTCACCACAAAAAAATGATAACTATGTGAGGTAATATGTATGTCAATCAGCTCAATTTAGCCGTTCCATAATGTATGCATGTTTCAAAACAACATGCTATACATAATAAATATAGATAATTTTTGTCAATAAAGATAAACAAAATGTTAAAAAAAAATTGTAATGGGCAAAGATTCTAAATAGAAATTTCTCAAAGGAAGACCTACAAATGGCCAACAGGAATATGAAAAAATGCTCTACATTACTAATCATCATGGAAATAGCGATTAAAACTATAATGAGATAATACCTCACATCTGCTAGAATAACAATTATCAAAAAAAAAAAGTGCTGATGAGGACGTGAAAGAAAGGAAACTCTTGCATAATTTTTGGTGGGAAGATACATTATTACAGCCATCATGGAAAACGGCATGGAAGTCACTAAAAAAATTAAAAATAGTCCCGACACAGTGGCTCATGCCTGTAATCCCAGCACTATGGGAGGCCCAGGAGTTCAAGATCAGCCTGGCCAACATGGTGAAACCCTGTCTCTACTAAAAATACAAAAGTTAACCAGGTGTGGTGGCTCACACCTGTAATCCCAGCTACTCAGGGGACTGAGGCAGGAGAATCACCTCAGCCCGGGAGGCGGAGGCTGCAGTGGGCTGAGATTGTGCCACTGCACTCTGGCCTGGGCGAGAGACTCCGTCTCAGAAAAAAAAGAACAAAAAATTAAAAATAGAACTACCATAGGATCCAACAATCCGACTTCTCAGTACATATTCAGAGGTACTGAAATCAGTATGTCAAAGAGAGATCTGTACTGCCACGTCCACTGCTGCATTATCACAACAGCCAAAGTATGGACTCTTCCTGAGAGTCCCCAAACAGATGACTGAATAAAATGAAGTATAGATACACAGTGAAATACCATTCAGCCAGAAAAAAAGAAGGAAATCCTGTCACTGAAGATAAATGTTTGAACCTGGAGCACATTATGTTGAGTGAAATAAGCCAGGCACAGAAAGACAAATACCACGTCATCTCACTTACAGGTGGAATCTAAAAAAGCTGAACTCATAGAAGCAGAGAGAAGAAAGGTGGTTAGAGGTGGGGTAGGGGAGGGGTTGGTCAAAGGACACAAAATTTTAGTTAGAGGGGAGAAATAATTCCAAGAGATCTATTGTGCAACATGGTGACTACAGTTAATAACAATGTGTTATATTCTTAAAAATTGCTAAGAGAGTAGATTTGGAGTGTTTTTCACCATAAAAAAAAAAAGGTAAGTATGTGTGGCAATGCATATGTTAATTAGCTCAATTTAGCTATCGCAGGGTAGGCATATTTGAAAACATCGTCTTGTACATGATAAACATATGCAACTTTCATTGTCCATTAAAATAATTGATTAATTTTAAATAAAAAAATTTAAAAATATAGTTACAAAAACTTACTAAATCAATGTTTCCAACAAGATACTATCAGCAAATGGAAAAAAGAGTGCAGGCTTCAGAAACATGCGGCACAGAATGCTTAGGACAGGATCATTTTTAAAAAGCCAAAGACCAGTGACAATGAAGACAAGGCAGTGGCATTTGGAGGCTGAAAGCAATTCAATTTATTTAACTTTGAAGAACAAAAGCTTATTCTTCCAAGGAGAAACCCAAACACATTTTCTGTAGAAAAAAAGACACCATTTTAACCGCATTGCCAAAATAAGTCAGGCAGAGGGCAAGAGGGCAAGTTAGATCCAGCCACAAAAAAGAACTCAGGCCGACAAAGCAGGGTGGGAAGAACAGGGGAGGACATGCCCCACAACAGATTTGGGGTTTTAAAGGGAGAAGGAACCAGAAGAGGGAGAGAGAAATCCTGCCCCAGTCTTGATAACATTCTATTTGGAATACTAAGTCTAGCTTCTGGTAACAACCACCTTAAACAACAGAAAGAAAAAAGAAACCTAACAAGTAAGTGGATAGGCATTTGTATTTGAATACTTGAGTCTGTTCTACAGTAAAACAAAACACTGCAGTAAAACTGTTTGGCTAGAAATCCAAATTGGAGCAAAACCTCTTTTAAGCTGGCTGGGTCTTCCTCACCTAAGACTTGAATAGCCAGATGCTTCTCTTCCCAGACAGGGAAGTCCTTCACTGACTTTAATCAGAATGCTCCTCTTTCTAGCTACATGACCTTCGACATGTAACTCACCTTTCCCATTCATCAGTTTCCCCATCTGTAAAAAGCTACGATCACTGTACTAACCCCATCGGAGATGTTTATAATGATGACATGAGATACACATCAGTTCCAACGCCTAGAAGACTAGAATATTGAATTAACGTTAGCTGCCGTTATTATTCATCTTCCTCTTCTCAAATTTCTTTTGGTTCCCTTCCCCAAGGTCACCATTAACTGGCTGAGAAACCAACGGTAGACTTTTCTGCACTGTTTCTCTCTTTAAGAAGGCCCCTCTTCTGCTCCTAAACTCGGGAAAAGACGCCAGATCTCCCCACGGGCAAAAGCGCAAGGACTAACTAGCACTAGAAAACTATCAGAGTCCCTGTGTCTCAGAAAATTTAGGAGCACAGAGTCGTTCCAAATTACTTCCAGAGCACCTTCAACCCTCTGAGCCCAGCAGATTATCAGAAAAGCTTCACTCAAAAAGCCACATCTCTCCTTCACTCAGCCATGCTGACCAAAAATGAAATATCGCATGATAAGAATCAGTAGCACGGATGGAGCCTTTCCCACATGCGAGGTCCTGCCTCCACACCTGCAACTTCATGGAAATCTCACTCCCGCCCCTGAGTCAAGGGGCATCACTCATTTTCCAGTGAGGCTCAGAAAGCTGAAGTATCTTGCCCAGGTCCCAGGGTTAGTGAGTGGCACACTGGAACTTGAACCTGGCAGTCTGACTCCAGGTTTCATATCAGTTTTGCTGTGTCCCTGTAGCTCCAAGGACCCCGCCTGACCTCTCCCTCATGGCCCGCCCTCCCCTTCCTGTGTGAGTACAAACCCTTCTGCCTTCATGTTCAGGCTCTGATGGGTCCTGATCTTTTAGGGTATATGATCCCTCCCATGTCATCACCCTTGCCCTTTTACAAGGGATAATACACAAGGAAAGGATAAATATTACTCAAGCTGGCACAGAAATAAAGGAGTTAAGAGGAAAGCTAAGCCACTATCTATTTATCACAGGGTTTTGGTGTGTGGTGGTATTGTTTTTAAGCAGTGTCTTATAAAACTAAAATTGCCAAATCAAGAAATAAATCACTGTGGCTTTTCAATTGCCTCAAGATATTTGGTGGAAAATATTCCGATGAAGTTTCAGAACTGAGACACGAAGAAAACTGGTTTCCAACAGAATAAAAGGAAAAAGCATTGGTTTGTTTGTTCCAGACTTTTTCAAGTCACAGTTTGCCTAGGAATGGTAACAAGATTACATGTCATTTGGCCTGCATGGTTGTTTTTTGAAAAAAAAACAAAAACAAAAACAAATCAAAAGCTGCCAACATCTAAAATCAGTGATTTTACATTTTTAAAAGTCTAGATTTTGACTTTTTTTGAGTAAGAAGATGCAGCCACACTAGGTGCTTTCTGCCTCGTGGTCATGCAAGCCCTATGGGTGGGTGATGGGAATTACAGCTTCCACAATCCCCACCATGCCACATTGCCTCACAAGTAATCCTCCATCCTCATTATCACACAGGCCAAGCCCCTGGAGGCACCAAGTTTGTGACTTCTTTATAAAAAGCTCTGGACAGATAAGTAATCATGTTCAATACCCCTCAGTCTTACTGGGTCCAGGAAAGCTCTTCCATTTCCCTGTTAAATGTCATTCCTATGTTTCCACGGAAACTGGGAGGCTCCGAGTGCCTTCTCCTCACCCTGTGCCACCCTGCCCCCATTGTCACCAAAACCACGGCTCACCTGCTACTCGGTGCCACTGCGTTCTCTCTTCACGGGTGTCGCTGGCACCTCCCCATTGACGCCTTCAGCCCCGCTAACAGACATCAGGCTCCTCCGTTCCTTCTGGTTTGACTTGTGTTCCACTTTTGTAACTCTAAACCTGAGGGGAAATGGGGAGAGGTGACAGGGTTTGCTTTTCTAATAAACAAGAATTTGGAATAAAGCAAAAATCATCCACCCAGAGGATCTCAAATGAACTCAGCCAAAAGTTAGGACACAAATGAAAAACAACATATCCATGAGGAGGAACATTCATTCCTATCCAGCACGTTCCCCTGGCCCCTGCCCAACCTTCCAGCTGATTTCTACTCAACCATATCACAGACTAAGCTGGATATTTTATAGAGCATGCAAAAGGTGTTTAAAAACTCAGGTATTGGCCAGGCACGTGGCTTACACCTGTAATCCCAGCAGCACTTTGGAAGGCTGAGGTGGCTGGATTGCTTGAGCCCAGGAGTTTGAGGCCAGCCTGGGTGTACGGCAAAACTCTATCTCCACAAAAATTAGCCAGGCATGGTAGTGTGCACCTGTAACCCCAGCTATATGAGAGGCTGAGGCAGGAGAATCACTGGAGCCCAAAAGGTGGAGGTTGCAGTGAGCCAAGATCAGGCCACTGCACTCCAGCCTGGGCAACAGAGTTAGGCCCTATCTCAAGAAGAAGAAAAAAAAAAAAAAAACTCAAGAACTCAAATATTAAATAGTTCAGAGTTGTGGCTTCTAACAATGACTTCGGCTTTAACATCAGTTTGTTTGTTTGTTTGTTTGTTTGTTTTTGAGATGGAGTTTCACTCTTGTTGTCCAGACTGGAGTGCAGTGGTGTGATCTGGGCTCACTGCAACCTCCACCTCCCAGGTTTAAGCGATTCTCCTGCCTCAGCATCCCAAGAAGCTGGGATGACAGGCATGCGCCACCATGCCCAGCTAATTTTGTATTTTTAGTAGAAACATGGTTTCACTATGTTGGTCAGGCTGGTCTCGAACTCCTGACCTCAAGTGATCCACCCACCTCAGTCTCCCAAAGTGCTGGAATTACAGGTGTGAGCTACCATGCCCAGCCTACATCAGTTTTTTTTTTAACCACAGAAAGCTGGTTAAATGCTCAACTGGTTTACAAATTAGGCTGATGTAACCAGAATGTTCACCAGAAGATGACGAACTTCTGAAAATATGCAACTATCAGGCAGTCCTATCCCAACACACACACACACACACACACACACACATACACACACACACACACTCACTCTCTCTCTCTCTCTCTCTCTGTCTCTCTGTCTCTCTCTCTCATACACACTTTCATACACATGCAGAAAATCAGAAGAGTCCTAGCAACACATTTTATCAGTATTAGGGTTTGAGAGTTTGTCTTTTAAAAAAACAAAAATGGGTTAATTTTCATTACAGATTAAGGAAAAACTAAACAACGTTAAGGAACAGATTTTCATTAAAAATTAAGAGTTAAATAGATGTATTCAATGTAACGGTTTTTCCAGTAATATCATCACCAAATTTCTAGAGTCTTTCACAACAGCTTCTTTCTCATTCTGGTCTTAATTTCCCTTAAAAACTATCAAAAACAAATTCTCCTTCTGTGTCCAGAATAAGATCACCAGCCCTGAGGAGAAGGCTCTGAAGAAGTGAAAGAAAGAACGGGGTACTGTAAACACAAATCTATTCTGTCAAACTATTCTGTCTTAAGTAATAGATGCTGGAAAACAGCCTGGAATCATTAAGTGCTCCTAGTAGCCAATATCCAAGAGAGAGAGTTGGATTGGGGGCATTTTAAAAAGCCATGTTTGGCCATGCACAGTGGTTCACACCTATAATCCCAACACCTTGGGAGGCCAAGGTAGGCGGACCACTTGAGGTCAGGAGTTTGAGACTAGCCTGGCCAACATCGTGAAACCCCATTTCTACTAATAAATACAAAAACCAGCCAGGCATGGTGGCAGGTACCTCAACTGAATTAACGTCTGTAATCCCAGCTACTCAGGAGGCTGAGGCACGACAATCGCTTGAACCCGGGAAGCAGAGGATACAGTAAGCCAAGACTGCACCACTGCACTCCAGCCTGGGTGACAGAGTGTGACTCCGTTTCAAAATAAAAAACAGCTGTGTTGAATCTGAGTTGAAAATTTCAGCATTTTTTTTTTAAGTCCAACAAAACATGCTTTGTCCAAACAAGCCACAGGTTCTCATTGCATTTGCATTCATAAATTCCCATGACTGCTTCTTAACAAAACAGTGTGGTCATGAGTTGTGCTGTTTTGCTGTAAGTGGCAAACAGCCTGCAGTCTTCTCCGTGATGCTTGTGCAACACAGGGTGAAACTCAACTGAATTAAAATAAAAATAACATCGGCCAACATTTCTTGAGTGCATAAGGACCCAAAGTTGGTTTAAGATCTTTGTGTGAGTCATCTCATTTAGTCTACAGAGTAACTCTACGAGGTGAATGTGACTGTACTTCTCACTTTACAGAGGGGGAAACTGAGGCACAGAGCAACATAACAGTTTGTAAGTAGTGGTGCCTAGACTCAAAGGACATAGAAGCAACAAGTTCAGGCTACTCTTCCAGGGTGGTGTTGGTAGAGGGAGGGATCATGTAAGCAGCACTGTCAACTTTTGCTCAGTGCTTACCTAGTCTCATTCCAGCATGTGTGTTCCTTACCACTACTCCCCACTGTCTTTCCAAATACAACATCAGCAACGCAGTTCCTGCGTGGGACTTGGATCCAACAGCAGAACTGCAAAAGCATCCCGCTGCAAAGATGCTTCAGGTAGGGGCAGATGGATTCATCACTTGAACTGCAAGATCGCCACCTCACATATGGGTCACAAGTGAAAGGCATGAGGACCAAGAAAGCCAAGACACAGAGGAAAGCACCGCCCACTAAAATAAAGCAGTCAAAGCAATTCACACAGAACTTACAGAGACTGGAGGGCTGTGGACCAGATCCACGTCTTCTCCCCTTCCTCGCACACGGCTAGATGACATTTCTCAGTTCCCTGAAAGTGAGCTTGGCTGGGTGATCGAGTTCTAGCCAGTGGAGTGTGGGCCAAAATGATACAAGTCACTCTCAGGCCTAGCTCTTTCAAAACCTCTCGTGAACAACCTTCCACAGACCTGCTCCTTTGGCTGGCAAACCTGGTAAAGCCACACAGATGAACAGGGTCTAGAACCCTGGTCAAGTACCTGAAGAGCCACCCATTGATATCTCAATACCTGCCTTGGATTCCATAAGTGAAATATAAAGGTCTCTTCTGTATACAGTTGAAAATCTGGGCTTTATCTGTTAGAGCAGGTAGGTATTTATCTTCATACATTTCCCATCTGATCTAGCAATACCCGTCTTTCAGGATTCTTCTGTTGTTGGAAAAACCTACGACTCACAGCAGAAAACATCTAAAAAGCCCAGAGATATAACCTGAGCCAGGCACAGATAACATATTCTACATCTGACAAGTAAGCACAAGTCCACACACCATAGCACCCACGTCACACACAAACCAAAAGCATCTGAAGGGATCTTACCTGCCAACAGAAAGGACCGTGACCTCGCCTTGGCGCCTCGGTCGGCTCTCTCTGGACTTGTTGCTGGGCTTTATGAAGTGCCACCGCTTGTGCCTACACCGATGACACACGTCCCTCTCGACAACACCACCCACCGTGTGCAGATGATGGCCACAGACGTGTTTCCCTGGGGTGCCCCCTGGAGACAAAGGCCCAGGACTCACGGGAGGGCTCCCTGGTGTGCTGGGAGTCACAGGGCTAAAGTGGGGAGGAAAATAAAAAGGAACTGGTTACTTACAGGAAATACTAGCGAAGGTGACCTCTCTCCCTGTAATGACAGAGCACATTTCAACTGAAAGAAAAAAAAAAGCATCTTCCATTGTACAAATGGATTTTGTGAACTGACCTCAGACGGCAGGTACTCAGCCCTCATGATGGTGCGATGAGAGTTTATCTTAAGCAATAGTAATATGATTCATGGCCAGGCACAACAGCTCATGCCTATAATCCCAGCATTTTGGGAGGCGAAGGTGGGGAGATTGCTTGAGGCCAGGAGTTTGAGACCAGCCTGAGCAATACAGAGAGATCTCGTCTCTGAAAAAAAAAATGAAAAAATTAGCCAGGCATGATAGCGCATGCCTGTAGTCCCAGCTACTCTGGAGGCTGTGGCAGGAGGGCTGCTTGAGCCCAGGAGTTCAAAGTTGCAGTGAGCTATGATTGTACCACTGAACTCCAGCCTGGGTGACAGAGCGAGGCCCTGTCTATAGAGGAAAAAAGAAAAATGGTTTATCACTTCTAGAATGGAATCTATTGGCTGGGAATAAAGCACTGCTTCTAACAGAGATCAACTGGCTTTAAAGTATTAGGTTTCTTTCTAAAACACTGATCTCCTTTCTCATGCAATCATTCTAATTTCTCACATACCAGAGTGCCTGCCTGTCACTCTAAGCAAAGAGACTCCCTAAATACATATGCCCTGGAAAAGGGAAGAACTCAAATTCTATCAAATTATCAGATAACTTAAGAGAAAATATTTGCTCAAATCTGGCCATTACATCTAAGGGGGAAAGCCTTTAGGTGAAGATATCAAAAGTGATGTTCAAAACAGATGTTGATGGTGTTGGTGACAGTAATAATAAAATAGCTAACAGTATTCTAAGCATGTGATGTGTATACATTAACGGAATTAATCTTCATAAAATCTTATTATGTAGGTATTAATAATTTCTTTAACAATGAGGATATTGAGGCAGAGAGAAGCAGAGTAACTTGCCCAAGATCACACTGAGAATAAGTGCTGGATCTGAGATCCAGACCTTGAACGTTTACTTCCAGAAACCGTGCAGTTAATCACCTTGCTGTATAGCACAGTGCTTCAGAAACTGCGAAGATCACTTTGATAATCTGGAATAAATCTGGCTGGACCATCCAAATATATAAAAAGCAGAAATATATAGGCCAGATGTGAGCTATTTTCTTTCTTTTTTTTTTTTTTTTTTTTTTTTTTTTTTTTCCAGATTTTTGTTTTTTTTTTTAGGGGTGGGGTGCAATGGCCCAATCTCGGCTTACTGCAACCTCCGCCTCCCAGGTTCAAGCAATTCTCCTGCCTCAGCCTCCCGAGTAGCTGGGATTATAGGCATGTGACACCACAACTGGCTAATTTTTTTGTATTTTTAGTAGAGATGGGGTTTCACCATGTTGGCCAGGCTGGTCTCAAACTCCCGTCCTCAGGTGATCCGCCTGCCTCAGCCCCCTAAAGTGCTGGAATTACAGATGTGAGCCATCGCACCCAAGCCAATGTGAGCTACTTTCAAAAGAAAAGGAGGAACTGGAACCTAACAGAGCCAAACAGAGCAGGAATCAGCCCTCTGTGCAGGCAGGTGTAGTGAGGGTGGTGTGAAGCCCAGGGCCTGATACCTGAACTGGGGCAAGAGCCCCAGAGACACACAGAAAGCTGTGATGGCAGAAACCAGCCTTTTCGGTGCTGTAAACTGGCCACCTGCATGCTTAAAAAAGAAGAGGAGCCTACGGCTGAAGAGACCGCCTCAAACATAACTGACAGCCAGAAGTCTTCTGGTACTCTTTAGGGATGCCTTCCTAATTGTTAAAATAAAAACACATAGCAGTACCTGCCCAGATTAAAATAATGTTAAATTAGCACCACATATTAGAAGGCTGAATGCAAGAGTTTAACAACATTCATTCAACAAGCATTTCTCAAATACCAGTTGTGTACAAAACCCAGTGATGGGCACTCCAGGATGCCCAGAGATGACTGAGACAAAGACACCATGAGCTAAGATGGTCAGAACACCAGCTGTCTGTGGCCAGGACTGGATTATGGGGGAAGTCATAGCTCTTCCGTCTCTGTGAATCTATGTCTCTCCTAAACTCACCTCCTTGCACTCTGAGTTACCTGCCTAAAACACACATTCACATGGCCAGTTTGACAAACACCTATTAAACATCTAAGATGTGCTGCGTGCACAACCCACATACGATGTGGAGAAAGATCCAACCCCTTTCCCATGTCACTTGGCCGGGCAACCCTGGACCAAACCCTTCACAGGTGAGTCCCAGGCTTTCATGCTGTAGCGACTTGTCTTCTGGCCCTTCTTCCTCCTACAGCCAGCCCTGCCTCTTGTCTCTACCTCTTGCACGCCTGGTTCAGAGGGCACCTCTTCCATGAAACTTCCTGAACTCCGGTTGGCTCCCTCCCCGGGTCCCCCTAGAGCCTTCAGTCTCTACCTGCCCTACAGCACTCACAGGCTGGCCACCACGAGGCCTCACACACGTCCCCACTCCCCACTGAGTTCCTCCACAGCAAGGGGCTGTGAATGTCCAGCTCCAGCGCAGCACCCAGCACACCGCAGCCATCCAATAAATGCTCCTCATTGGAGACATAATTATTATATGGAAATACAGTTCTCTGTAATTAATTATGAAGGACTCTGCTGTTCAACAACCATAACCTAAAATAGTAATTCAAAAACAGAACAAACCAGGTAGCTCCAAACCAGCTTGGTTGTTCATTTAATCATCATTGTTCTTGGAGGTCTTCCAATGCTTAAGGTATTTTGTATTTTTATAACAACCCTATAAAGCTGGTACTGTGGTGATCTCCATTTTATAGATAATGGAACTTAAACTCAGGGTGACGAATTAACCTCCCCAAGGACAGGCAGTTAATATGTGGTGCAGGCAGGACTCCACCACATCTCCCAATTCCAAGGCTGTGTTCTTGCCCTAACCTCTATGCCTTACTTCTTCCCATCATTATCTCTAACACAACAGTTCTCAACCAGGAGTGACTGTCCCCACTATGGGACACTGACAATGCATGGAGACATTATGGGCTGGCACACCTTGGCAGGGTGGGGGCAGGAGGTGCTCTGGCATCTTGTGAGTGGAGGCCAGAGATGACTTCACACATCCTACAATACACAAGACAGTTTCGTCCAGCAAAGAATTACCTGGCCCGAAATATCAATAGTGCCAAAGTTGGAAAACCTTCTCCAGCAGAAGAGCATGTCAGATGCCGCCATATCTGAGCAAGTAACCGAAAAGATGCCGCACTAAGAAAGAGGGAGGAGTGCTCACCTTTCAGGATCATACAGGCTGTTATCTGCTACCATGGCCTTTAAGACATCAGCGTTCGCTAAGGAATAAAAATAAAATTAAAGAATTAAAATAGAACAGATAAGATGAGTAATCACATCAGAAAAGCTGTTGAAAACATATCTGATTCAATTCTTTCAATTCATAGATGAGGTCCTGGGGACCCAAGGAAGGGAGAGTCTCCCCCTGGGGGCCTAGAGAAGGGAGGGTCTCCTCCAACATAACTGCATCACATGGCACCATCTGTCAATAACTTTCACCCTGCAGGAACTCAGTATGAGTGACAGAGAATCTATGGCAAGAACAGCAGATCTACTATAGGGCATTACTTCCTACACATCAACAGCAATATAATGCAGAAGAAACCCACCCCAACGCCAACTCCACCAAACAAAAGGAACATTTATATGCTACTGCTCTATTGCAGTTAACTCATTTTGATAAATATACTTTGAGAAATATGATAGTGAAATGTATTTAATAAGCCATCTATTGTCTAATAACTTGTATGTGCCAAAATAATTAGCTCTAAACTCTGAATACTCCTGTGACATCAATACTATCCCATCTCGAATCAGGGATGAGAGAAGATTAATTTTCCAGATGAGCTTCAGGATCATATAAGCCCTTGACTGGCCAGATACCTTAAAATTTCAAGTATCGATCATAACATATAAGTTATGTAATACATGCTGACTATAAAAGAAATCCAGATTTGTAGGTGGAAGGCCAGGCTGTCAACAAAAGCAAACTGAATCTAAGTTTGAGTCCCCCAACCCACACCCACACCCACACACCATGTGCTTTCTGCCTCCTTGTAGCATGGTCAAGCTTCCCAGGATAAAAGACTGAAGTGAAGGTTCAAGTTTCTCTTGGCTATTGAATTGGCAAGGCCAAATGTTATTACTGGCTGGTAACATTTTCAATTGATTTCTGAAACACTGTTCTCATGACTAACCACAACAAATTCACTAGAGACCAAAGAACAAATAAAAATCACTATTTACCAAGTAAGGCAACACAAACCTTTAATATTTAACATGCAAATGACTTCTCTAGAGGAGGAATATTAATTCTACTTCCAACTGCTGCTGTAAATATTAACAGTTCAGGGCTTACAATGCGGCGTTTCTCAACCTGGCCTGCATTATTGCCCTACCCAAGAGCCTTGTTCAACTATTTCTCCCTAATCACTTTCCCATTAAAGTATAACACTGCAGATATACATACGGTTATGTACATACACATACCTGTGCTTTACATCTAACAGAGTGGGAATTTTTTTTTTTTTTTTGGCCCCTGATCCAATTTTTATCTTCTTAGGAAACACACTGCCCCATTGCAACCCTTGAGAACACATGGGTTTTTGTTTTTTATTTTAAGAAATATTAATACAACCCTTAATCTTTTGCCAAGAATAATACTTTACCCTTCACAACTATCTGTGAGGATGTCTAAATGTGTTTCCAAACAGAAATTTTTATCTAAACAAGACTTCCTATCATTACAAAAACATTACTGAAAATGGATCCATAGTAACTTCTCCCGCACAACAAAGACAGTTCCCTCTGTAAAACACATTTAAGTATAATCCAGTAATGTCAGTTCATTTCCCTTTTGACTAATAAAGGAGGAATCAGAAAAATGGTGTTGTTTCAGCCACTAGGTTTGGATATACAATCCCATATACAATTTTGTATTTTGTTGTATACAAAATACAGCCGTCCTCAGTATCCATGAGGGAATGCTCCCTAGAGGCCTGCAGATACCAAAATCCACAGATGCTCAGGTTCCTGATGTAAAACACATCTCTCCCTCCCCCAAACACCTTAAATCATCTTTAGGTTACTTATCATACCTAATACAATGGAAAATAGTTGTTATACTGTTTTGTCTGGGGAATAACGACAAGAAAAAAAGTCTGCACATATCCAGTAAGATGCAACCATCCATTTCTTTCCTAATATTTTTTATCCTTGATTGGTTAAATCCACAGATGCAGATCTCATGGCTATGGAGGACTGATTATATATAATCATTTGCCAGCCCATACTTACTCTGCCAACATTCACCAAACATCAAAACTATAAACATAAAAAAGAGGGAAAACAACACCAAAAGGTATTCAAACAGGAACAGCACTAACACCGCATCCAGAAGTGGACTTTTTAAAATCAAATGTTGAAATTGCTGCCTGAGAAAAAACAATCACCTATAAAATGATGACCACCTATAAAATGAAACATCAAATTACAGAATCATTCCAGGAAGGTAAGACATATTAAAATCATTACTAAAGCTTGCTTGTTATAGACATTGTATTTCTTGGTTATTCATGATTTCTTGTAACTCATCTGTATCTCTCAGGAATAATTAGTAAACATCCCCTTGGTTTGCTGAGTGAGTCTCTAGGAGTAGACTTATGTTTCAATGTAAATATCATTCACACCCACCTGTGGCATTGGGACACACATACACACATGCATGAGTGTACAGGTACACACCCACACATACACACATGCATCCCTGTCTCTAAGCTAACGGGAGTTGACTTCAGTAATCTGTCTTTTGGGAACATTTTTGGTTTCCAGTGATGAGAAGACTTTCTAATATAACACCACTGTTAGGACTGAAACACATTCCTTAATTTGCTTGTAAGTTACCATCAAAGAGCAATACTCTGAGTTCTGTTGAAGGTATAGCTCCTCGTATATTACTCACAGCTCCACTAAGCCACAGGTGGTTTTCCCCCACACTAGCCAGCATTCTGTCAACTACATTTCCTTTCAGGGCCTTCCCCAAACTAGGAGGAGCCAGGCACTCGGCAAGGAAATCCCCTCCAGAAAAGGAAAGATGTTCCAATGGGTGGTATTTTCCAGAAAAGACCTCTCTTTGTTTTCCCCTGAATCCCTGCTTGATAATATGCATGAAACAGCCAAAATCAGGCAAGAAAAATGTCTGGTTGTCTCTCCCACCGCTATTCTCTTCAAAGTCTTCCTCACACCTAAGGCATATTTCCCCAGCAAAAACTAACATGGCCATCACCAAAATGTAAGTGCCAGGGACGTGCCAGTCACCGCCTGAAAGCTTTACAGATCTTACAGGTTGGACTCTTCTGACGACCTTCACAGTAGGTAGAATTATCACCCTCATTTTACAAATATGCAGGCTGAGACCCAAAGATCATAACTGACTGGCCAGAGTCACACGGCTAGAGAGTGACAGGCTTGGACACAAACCCTGGTCTGACTCCAGGGTGGGTGCTTTTAACCCTGACACCCTCCTACCTTTCAATGTCCAAGTCCCCACCCAAAGGGACACAGGTTGAATAATGGGTCACAGCATGTTTGCATAATCACCAGAGGAAGTTTCAGAATCCACTAAGCACTCCCAGTCATTTATAAAGGACTCTTTTCTGCCAAAATATAAATTGAGCCTGAAGGCAAAAACTTTGCAAAGGGATCTCTTGCCTAGGGGTCAGGAGTACTAATCACTAATCAGAAGCACCTGAGGAATATCTGTAGCACTCCCTACAATTCTTACTAAGCAGCCAGTTTAAAAGCCTAGCAGAGAAACTCAGCTGCACACTCCCAGATGCTTCCCAAACATCCATACAATGCAAGAAAACTCCAATGACTACCCAGACACGATTCCATTCGGCTCCATTTAGAAAGATGAATTAAAAGCTAGCACTGCGGCACATCCAACCCTTGGGATTAGGAAAGTGGTCAGTGTGCCGGTGTGGTATAATATGAAATAGGTTTGGTCATTGTCCTGGGTTCCTATCACAGAGTTCCTAAAGGCCTTGGAATTTCCTGACAGGAGTGTCTTTTGTTATTCATAAGGAGCACCTTTAGATCACACCTGAGTTTACACTAATGTGGTGACTCTGGGTGGGGCCCCTAAACAGTCTCAGGGTGGGGCCAGTCATCATGAAGACCAAGCGATTAGAGGGTTGGAACGTACCCAGGGACCTTGGGAAAGTCAGAGCATGGGAGGACAGGGCAAGGTTCTGGGACTGGAAATTAAACTCTACAAAAAACTCTTGAACAACAAGATTTGATGAGCTTCCAGGTGGCTGAACACAGGCAGGTGCCAGGAGGGGCGGGGCACCCAGAGAGGGCTCTGCACCCCACCCCCAATGCTATGTATCTTTTCTGTTTGTGAGTTGCATCCTCTATTACAAACCAGCACATGTAATAAAGTGTTTCCGTGGCCAGGCACAGTGGCTCATGCCTGTAATCAGCACTTTGGGAGGCTGAGGTAGATGGATCTCCATAGGTCAGGAGTTCGAGACAAGCCTGACCAACATGGTGAAACACTATCTCTATTAAAAATACAGAAATTAGCCAAGCATGGTGTCGGGCACATGTAATCCCAGCTACTCCAGAGGCTGGGGCAGAATTGCTTGAACCTGGGAGGCAGAGGTTGCAGTGCGCCGAGATTGTGCCACTGCACTCCAGCCTGGGCGACAGAGCGAGACGCTGTCTTAAAATAAATAAATAGACAAAAAATAAGGTGTTTCCCTGAGTTCTTCTGTAAGCCATTCTTGGAAATTATCAAACCGAGAAGGGGATTGTGGATCCCTCCTCCCAGCCATTTACAGATGATAGGTCAGAAGTGCTGGAGCCCCAGCTTCCAACTGCCATCCAAAGTAGGAGCAGTCTTTCGGGATCTGACGCTAGCTCTAGGTAGACAGTCAGAGCTGTATTAAATTGCAGGATACCCAGCTGGTGTTCAAAGATTTGGAGAACTGCATAGTATGGAAAAAACCCACACATCTGTGTCGGAAGTGTTATGTGAGGATGGAGAGAAACAAAGTGTGTTTGCCCAGCAGGTCAGCTGATCATCCTTCAAGAGATATTTATCTAAACTGAAATTGATTTTCAACATTAAAGACATAATGTGTTTAAACCATAAACAAGAATGTCACCATGAGTACAAGTCAAATATTGCCCCATTTACCAAATTTAAAATGCAAAGCAGAAACCATCCGCATATGACTGCAAATGTTTACAGAGGCATGAATCTAGGAAAAGAAAACCTAAACACATGTGGGAAAAGGGTAATAGACAGATTGTGCTTAATTTTATTCCTTTCTTAATGTAAAGGAAAAGTTATGGTATGCTCATCACTTTTAAAAATAGAAAATGTAATTAATATTAATTCTAACATCAAAGGCAGAAAATATCAACAGGGAAGTCCAAATTGGTACTAAGTTCAAAGTCATGTTAATAATTGAGACAAAAATATTTTTTAAATCCACTTGGTCCACAAAATAAGAGGATTTCAGTCTCCAAGCCAAACTCAAACGTGCTAGGTTATAAACTGGTAAGGGAGCAAGGCTGTATCTTATCACCAGCCTGTGGTTTGGGTGCAGGCTAGAAGCTGAAGAGGCCACAGCTGGAAAAGACGTGCAGCAACATTAGGTCTTTGTTGGGGGTCCAGGAAGAGAATCAAGGGCTGTAGAAGGGATCGGAGTCACCAGCGGTTTTCACAGGCCTCTGGAGAAACCGCAGGTACACAGATGAAGATGTGGACAGAAGAGGAGACCTTGGGTTGAGAATAAGACAGATGGAAAAGAGAAGAGGGGAGCAGAGGAGAGAGAAGGAAAATGGCACCTCAGGTATTGACTGCTTGGTGGTACCTACTGGTACTAAGCATAGTAAAAACACAAAGGTTACTTTCCAAAAGGAAAGTGACATTGTTTAAAAAGGGGAAAAAAAAAACAGCCCTCTTTGCCCACAAGTGTGGGAAGTGAAGAAATTATATAATATGCCTCCTCAAGGACCCCAGACACCTCCTCTGCTGTAATTAAGAGAAGTTCACACCACTGGCACCATCCCGCCATACCTGCTTGTGTGACTCTGAACAAGTGTCTTCTCTGAGTCTCTGTTTCCTAATCTATAAAACAGGGTGACAACAGGGCCTATGTTATCTGGTACTTTTATTTTATTTTTTTATTTTTTTGAGACAGAGTCTCACTCTGTTGCCAGGCTGGAGTGCAGTGGCAGTGCAATCTCGGCTCACTGCAGCCTCCGCCTCCCGGGTTCTAGTGATTCTCCTGCCTCAGCCTCCCAGGTAGCTGGGATTACAGGCGCCTGCCATCATACCCAGCTAATTTTTGTATTTTCAGTAGAGACAGGGTTTCACCATGTTGGCCAGGCTGGTCTGAAACTCCTGACCTCAAGTGATATCCTCCCACCTCAGCCTCCCAAAGTGCTGAGATCACAGGCATGAGCCACCACGCCGTGGCCAGCATTTTTAAGAATTTATTGAGTTAATACTTAAGGAGTTCTACAAACGACCCCAGCTATATACTGCCCCTTTTGAAAGGAAAACGTTTTCCAACCCTCTTTCATGCTACCTAGACAGAGGCAGTACAGTAAGTGGTTAAGAGAACAGACTATGGAACCAGAACACCTGAGTTCCAATCCCAGCTTTGCCACTGCCAGCGGTGCAACAATGGCAACTTAGCTAAGCACAGTGGGAACATGGGAAGTTCCCACTGTACTTAGCCTGTAACATGGGAAGAAAACACAGGGATAATGGGGTCCCTGGAAAGCCCACAGAACAGGCCCAGCATGTAGCAAACCCTCATGAGTGCTATCACATCTATACATGAGAACTTCAGCCCCTGGCAAGGTTCTCATAGTTTACCTATTTCGACTGATTGAACTGTCAGTAACCCATTTCATCCATCATCGCAAGTGAGCAACTGCTGCAGCTCTCAGAAGCCCAGGTCCCAAAGACCTGTAAGCTACCCACAGCTATGGAAGACAGTCTGGAAGGTGAAAGGCACAGAGGCAGGAAGGGGGTCATCCACGCCTTACGTGGCACGGCGCACTTCCAGAATGGGTACATCTTCCATGCCAAGAACATATTCATGCATTGCTTGGGAAAATTAAAAAGCACTTTTGTGTGTAAAAGAAACATCCATAATTGAGTACTCAAAACAGTATCACCAACCACTGTGCCCTGAGGAACGTCTCGGGAAGACAGAGATCAAAATCCAAGCATTCTGGTCTTGTTATTTTAAACATCATCCAAACAAGTTTGGTTGTCTGATTTTATAGACTGTAGAAATTGAAAACTGCACATTAGAAGAGAGAAGGGACAATACTATGTGGTTGAAAAGGATGCTGAATTTGGAACCAGACAGACAGAGCTGGGCTGCTCACTAACCAGGTAAATTTAACTACTTGGAACTTCCTTTCTTCATCTATAAAATGGGTATAATTGAACAAACTTTATAGGGATGTTTTGAGGATTAAACGAGATGACGTATATAAAGCACCCAGATCTATGCCAAAAGCATACAGTGCATTCTAAAAACAGCAATGAAAATTATGCTCAACCATATGAAACTGCTGTTTCTCTAAGTCAAAAACAGTGGAAAAGAGTCAAACTGACAAACGGGCTGGGCAGGAGGTGCTCTAGTGGAGTGGTGAGGATCTGGGGGTGTGGGGTACCCAGGGCAGGGCCTGAGGGCAGAGAAGCAGGTAATTACTGATGAGTGGGGTGTACATTCAATATTTAGACAAACAGCTCAGCTCTATCATCAGGGCACAATGCATGAGCCGACATTGACTAAAGCAAAGACAAAGCCCGGGGGAAACATTTTCTTTTAAACTGTTATGAGAATTCAAAGTGTGAGAATCCATAGCTATAGAATAAGTGGGCAAGGAACCCCACACATCTTAAATACCACGTAGGGCATGGTCTGCTATCAAGGTCATAACCAGTGCTCAGAACAATGACCCGAGTTTCTTTGCTCAAGAGTAAAGTAATCTTCCATTTAAGATGAGAATTTAGAATACATTTCAGGAAGACAAAATACTTAATTCCATAAGAGTTAAACTTTGTGAAAGCGTTAACACTGGAGAAAGGGTAACATAGAACAGACAAACAGAAACATAGCAGTAGCTGCCAGTGGTCAGGACAGTGGGGAGCAGCTGCCTAGTGTGTCCAGAGCTTCAGTTTGGGATGATGTAACATCTGGAACCAGACAATGGAGATGCATGTACAACACTATGAATGTGCTTAATTCCACTGAACTGTGCACTTTAATAAAATGGTAACAGTACTAAATTGTATGTTATGTGTGTTTTGGGGGTTTCTTTTGTTTGTTTTGTTTTTGAGATGGAGTTTCACTCTGTTGCCCAGGCTGGAGTGCAGTGGTGCGATGTTGGCTCACTGCAACCTCTGCCTCCTGGGTTCAAGTGATCCTCCTGTCTCAGCCTCCAAAGTAGCTGGGACTACAGGCGCCTGCCACCACACCCAGCTAATTTTTGTACTTTATTTAATAGAGATGGGGTTTCACGATATTGGCCAGGCTGGTCTCAAACTCCTCACCTTGTGATCCACCCGCCTTGGCCTCCCAAAGTGCTGGGATTACAGGCAGGAACCACCACACCCAGCCTGCTACATATATTTTACCACAATGTTTGTAAGCTTGCAAAAAAAGAACACACAATATTTGAGTGCTCACTATACTCAGCACTCTATGTGCGCTATGTCCCAATGATGCTATGAAGTAAATATTACTATTATTATTACTTTTTCTTAGACAGAATCTTGCTCTGTTACCCAGGCTGGAGTGCAACGGCATAATCACCGCTCACTGCAGCTTTGAAATCCTGAGCTCAAGTGATCCTCCCATGTCAGCCTCCCAGATAGCTGGGAACACAGGTGTGTGCCACCACGCCTGGCTAATTTTTTTGTTTTTTACTTTTTTTGAAGAGATGGGGTCTCACTATGTTGTCCCGTCTGGTCTTGAACTCCTGGCCTCAAGTAATCCTCCCACCTCAGCCTCCCAAAGTGCTAGGATTATGGATGTGAGCCACTGTGCCAGGCTGAGGTAAATATTATTACTACCCTCATTTTACAGGAAAAAACTGGTCCTCATGAAATGAGGCAATGTAGTTTCCCCAAATCGCACAAAACCAGCAAGCAGTGAGGCCAGGACATGAACACCAGCTGACAGAGCTCCAGGCCTGGGTTTCTAAAACACTTAAGACCAACTGATGCTTAGAAAACTCACTCATCTGAAACCTGCGTAGTTGAATAAAGCTGGAAGCTGAGGTGTTAGAAAGCTTAGGTGAGGTCAATAAGAGAATCTACATAAATCTTGACTCTTCGAAGCAGGTTTTTAATAACGCATAGGAATACTGAATTGTTTTGAACACTAAAATGTTCACACCTTCATTTTTCATGATGTAGTGGACGATTTGCCCAACAGTGTCACTGTTTTCATTCATACTATCGTTCAACTCTGAAAGAGAAAAGAAGAGGGGAGAACAGGTTACAATTGGTCGCCAGCATCAAGTCAATCAGTCTTAGAATCCAAGACCTCGGTGAACAGTTTCCAGAAGCCTCAGGTGATCACCCACGGTGCTACGATTCTAGGCTTTCGCCCTCCAGCCCCGAACTTCCTAACGCATTACACACTGGACCTCCTTGGCATAACAAGCATAAAGAGAAAGTATCAGAGCTGTCCATCTATCTCTTCTCAAGTTCAAATACCCATTCACTTTCCAAGACAATAATTTGAAAATGTATTTGGACCAGTTCCTCATTATTATTTCTCTCTCATCATTCCCTTAAAGCCTTAGGAGAAATGGGAAGAAGAAAAAAAAAATTCTCCTTGGATTTTATTTTAATTGCAGACTTATCATATACATTTACAATATTAATTTCCTTTTTTTCTTTCTTTTCCTTTTCTTCTTTTTTGACACGGAGTCTCGCTCTGTTGCCAAGGTTGGAGTGCCGTGGCATGATCTCGGCTCAATGCAACCTCCACCTCCCAAGTTCAAGCAATTCTCCTGCCTCAGCCTACTGAGTAGCTGGGATTACAGGTGCATGCCACCACACCCAGCTAATTTTTGTATTTTTTTTAGTAGAGATGGGGTTTCACCATCTGGTTAGGCTGGTCTTGAACTCCTGACCTTGAGATCTGCTTGCCTCGACCTCCCAAAGTGCTACGATTACAGGTGTGAGCCACCATGCTCAACCAATATTAATTTCTTTTTTTAATTGGATCATAATTCATGCATGTTCATCAGACTCTCCTGTGCTCTGAAATATACTTCCAAATTACCTACATTCAGGGCTTGGCTATTTGTCCACAAACTCAGTTTACTTTGGGGGCTCTGTACCAGGAGTGTACGTGATGGTCTTTGGGGAAAAAAGCAAACCACTCTGAAACCAATCTGCAAAATTTGTTTCAATAAGACAAGGAGAACCAGGGAGAGGTGAAATGCTCCATCCTACTTCCCAGAGAATGCATCAAGGTATGCAATGTCCTACTCCTTTACCTGGAAAATGTCTTCTCCATCCAAAGGTCAGCTTTCCTTCACATGAACACGCATGTTTGGTTAGACAGCTCAGAAGCTGGCTGCTAAGCCAACCTACAGAGCATCTGGGAAGGAGGAGAGGGGGAGGCTCCACTTTCTGTTGACAAACACTTGGCTTTGGTTTGCTCACAGGCTCATACATGACTCATCATAAAATCGTGTTCCTTCTCAGCCTCAAAGGTCAGTGAGGGTGGGAAAAACCAACAGTCCAGAAAGCTAGCAAGAAGCCAGAAACCTCCCCCCAGCCAGCCCTGCTTTGCCTGAAGGGCAACCTACTTCAATGTCACCTTTCTGCAGAAACTGCCCTTAGAGGGGCTGAAAGGAATCGGGGGAGTCACCTAGTACCTCTCAAGGCCCAAGTCAGGAAACACCCCTAAAAGATGATGGGAAACTAACATGAGTGGAGAAAAGAGGACTTCGTCTCCCAGGTGTTTCTGAACAGTACCTAAATGACTCCATGTTAGGAGGAAAAGATGAAACAGCCTGAGGTTAGTACTAAGGCACCAGTTCTTGCCATACTTTTTTCTGCACTGTGCACACGATCGTTTACTTAATAAACATAAATTCTAAGCACAAATATTTAAGATCGAACACTCCCCCAGCAAAAGTCACACCACAAACATGGTGAGACCTATTTTAACTTTTCCTTCACTCTTATTCAAATCTAATTCCATAATAAGAATAAGGATTAATATTAACCAAGTGGCCATATATGCCAAACATCAAGTGCCTCTTTCCTCTAAATTTCACAGAAACCCCATGAGGTGAGGATTATTTTCCTCGTTGAAATTAAAATGTCAAATGAATAAAATTAAATTCATTAAAAATACATTTAAATGAAATTATACGTAACAGAGATTCAGGTCTCATGATAACTTTTATAAGGCCACAGGGCAAGAAAGGGTGCCCTACTTGGCAGGTATTCAGTAATGAAGGCAAAGTTTCAAACTAGGTGTGATTATTGCGAAATCTGCACTTACCCTACACCACACCACCTGTTACTAGCGTGAATCATTCTGCCTCAGAGAGATGGAAAGCATATTATCACTAGTTTCATATTTTAAAATGGTCTCCCACTCCCAATAAAAAGAGCCCAGGTTACTCACCTATCTTTTCAACCTTTTCCTCTTCGATATCTTGCTCTGCTTCTGTTGTACAACGATAACCTTTCTTCTTAAGCAGGTGGCAAATGAGGACGCCGACAAGACCCATGATAAAGAACACGGGGACAAGCGCGTACGCGATATATTCTGGGTGTCCATTCCCGGTATTGTTGCTGGGTGACGGGGTCGTCTCTGTTCTGGAGTGCAGTGTGCGGCTGCCCCCATTGTCTACAGAAAGAAACAGGCATGCTGCATTAGATGACTGCCCAGGGCAAGAAAAACCTAATGACTCTCAGGAAATGTTCACAGTAAATCAGGGTCTGCTCCCAAGACCACAGGCCATGCAGACTGGTAGGTCTGGCTGCACAGGCACACAAACGCCCAGGTTTGGGCTCAAACAGTCTGAGTTCAACTCTGCCACTCATGAACCAGGTCCCACGCTGGGTCATTTTTTAAAAAAACCTTTTGAAGCCAGTTTCTTCTTCGTTGTGGAATGAATATACAGGGTTGTAGTGAAGTGTCCAGCACAGAATACATATTTTAAACATTACATGGTATTATAGCATAGCTCTTAGCGATTAAGACCACGGCCTCAAGACACTCAAGTTCAATTCCCAGCTCCATTATTTAGCAGCTGTGTGACAATGGACAAGAGCTTAACATCTTGATCTCCTTGGTTTCTTATGAAATGGGAATACCAGTATTACCTACCCACCCCTTCTAGGACTGTTGTGGAGATAAAATAAATTATTACATGTAAACTAGCAAGCAGCAGAGCAAAAATTCACCCACATGCCAAGCACCATTCTAGGCACTTGTGATGCAAGTGCATCACACTGAGCAAAACAGGCGGAGATTGCTGTCCTCATGCAGCTTACATTCTAGGAGGATTTAGTAAACTAGCAGATCTAGAGTATGAAGAGGGAAAAGTCAGGGGTAGCATCAAGATCTTGGCCTGGGGTGCAAACATAAAATAGGAAGTGAATGCTGAATGCACTTGTTTATTTGTTCACTAACCCCAATAAACACTGAATGTGTGCCAGGGATGTGACGAGCACCATACTGAGTGGGAAGTGGATAGAGAAAGTGATGAATAACATAACACAGCCCCTGCCATCTTCAGTCTTGTAGGATGCCATCAGAAATAGCCATTAAACAGGTATACATGGGCAGATCATAACGGATTGTGAGAAATGCAGTGAAAGGAACACACGGGGCACTAGAAGAGAAAAGAACAGTGAGGATCTATTTTATGACCTCAAGAGGGAAGTTGCGAAGCGGGTATCTTTTGGAGAAAAGGAGAAGTTTGCCTTTAGACATGTCAGAGTATCACATGAGTATATATATGAGAGGCAGCTTGGTATCTTAGCCTGTGGGGGTGCCCCATGGACTCTGGAAAGCAGTGGGCCTGGAGCACACAATTATACAATGTGGCCAACTCAGATCACAGGAAGAACAAACTGGACTGGGCACGGTGGCTCATGCCTGTAATCACAGCACTTTGGGAGACTGAGGCTGGCAGATCACTTGAGGTCAGGAGTTCAAGACCAGCCTGGGCAACATGCTGAAACCCTGTCTCCACTAAAAATACAAAAATTAGCTGGGCATGGTGGTACACGACTCTGGTTCCAGCTACTTGGGAGGCTGAGGTGAGAGGATCGCTTGAGCCTAGGAGGCAGAGGTTGGTTGCAGTGAGCCAAGAGTGTACTACTGCACTTCAGCCTGGGTGACAGAGCAAGACTGTCTCAAAAAAAGAAAAAAAAAACTAAATTAATAATTATTAGAAAAATTAACTTTATGTATGTTCCTGTCACACAGTAAGCACTATAAATGTGTTAGCTACCACTATTAATATTGAGAACAGGTGTGGTGGCTCAGGCCTGTAATCCCAACACTTTGGGAGGCCAAGGCAGGTACATCACTTGAGGCCAGGAGTTCCAGGAAGAATACACCGTGTAGCAAAAGAATCAGCAAAGGACCATGTCACGGAAACATGAGGAAAGAAGTCCAAAATGAAGCGGGGAGTCAGGTGGATGAGGACTAAAGAAAACTGCAGAAATTGACGAAAACAAAGCCTCATTATTTGGAATATCCTGACTCTGAAGTGATAAAATGAGGTTTTCTACATCAAGGGAGGTTCACAAACACTGCTCAAGAAACCCACAAACTGGAAAGCTAGAGACATTTAAATATAAGCTTTCTCAAGAGAATTCTGGTGAGAAAGGAATCTGTATTGTAATTAAGAGTGGCAGGAGGCAGCCAAATGCGTAGGCAAACAGGGGTGGGTCCCTGGTGAAACCTCGCCCCAATGCTGACGACAGTTTAAGGCCTGAAGGCCAAGCTACAAGTTAAACCTTGGACCAGATGGAGGACTGGTCTTCCCATTTGGTACGCTTTGCTCACAAACCAATCAGCACGCACTCCCCATTCTGAGTCCACAAAAGGCCCCAGACCCAGCTACCCAGGAAGAACATCAGGTAGGGGAACGATTCCCCACACCCTACGTTGCCTCTCCACTGAACGCTCTTTTCATCACTCAATAAAATTCTTCTCCACCCTCCTCACCCTTCAAAGTGTCACATATCCTCATTCTTCTTAGGTGTACTACAAGAGCTTGGGAACCGCCGAAAGCAGGTACAAGCTGTTAACACAGGGGAGCTGGGGCATACCAAGGTGGCCAAGCGAGGCCTGGGCAGGGCGTCACCAGCATGGAGGTCCCCAGTTTACACAGCGACCGAGAATAAAACTCCTGCCTCATCATGATTGTAATGGGGACAAATATCTGGTATGAAATGACCACAGTTCATCACAGCAGAAAACAATATCAAACAGAAGCTTTATTCTCAAACCAGAGGCCATAGAACAAAGGGCTACCTCTCTTTCACATGGAAATATCCATTATCTTTGAACATGAAAGGAAATAATTGGTTTCTTAGGTTTGTAAGAGGTTGCATTCATTACTTTATCAGACAACCTCCAGAATTTGAAAAAGCCTGTGTTTTCTGATTTCTCCCTGGAGAATCAATATAAAAAATAAATCCCTAAATATATGCAATATACCATCTAAATTAGGGTTTAACCTCATGCCTTATTTTCAGTAAAAACCGAAACATTTATTTAACTCCTTGTATGGTCCTAAATCAATAAGTTTTCTTTACTGATTCCCTTATATAACACATATTCCATGCAAGAACAGGTGAAGTAAGCAGCATGCTGAGATCGAGGACATTTACTCAGAATCATTGTCTGTTTCAATCTGGGGGTGATAAATTCTTTTGGGGGAGGAGGACAATGGGAAACAAGAATGAAAGCAGAAGGGCACAGAATTGGAGTCAAACACCTCCCACTGAATCAGGTGATTGAGAAGTTGTCTTCATTGTGAATTTCACATCTGGCAAACCCTTCCAAACACTATGTATCTACAACAGAGCTCTGTGACTTACAGACATGTGTCATTCACTTAATTTCATAATTATTGTGCCATGGAAAAACCAAAGATATGAATCTAAATTAGTGAAGCATATGAATTATAGGGAGATGCAATGTAGCACTCAGATTAAAAGCTCAGACCTGCCAGAAATAACAGACATGTTATTGTCCATGTACTAGACATGTCACCTTAGGCAAGTAATTTTAACTGTTCTGTACTGTTTCCTCTCTGTAAAAAGGGTCAAAATGAATGTGACTAGTCTGCGATAATTTTAAAAGATGGCCATATGAAATAAACATCTAATTCTGGACCCCAATTTACTATGTCAAAAGGAAAAAATTAAGCTGAAGGCTGAATCACTCAAGAAACTGCCTTTCCTCTTGTTCTTAGGCAGATAGGTACCGATAAAAGGTTAAGCATCTGCACAGGTAGCTACTCTATGCTCCCCTTATCTTAGGTAAAGTGCTGATTTACTGACAGAATTGACTATTCCCCTGCCCACTCCTTTTCCCTTGCAACAGGTGGATTCAGTAATGTGACCATCCATTTTAAGTACTGAAACCCTTAAAACCATCTTTGGAAAATGCCATGAACCACGGATTGTTTCTATGGATTTGAGATCCTTTTCTCTGGGCATGTTGTTAACCTTGGCAAAATAAACTTCTAAACTGTTTCAGACCTGTCTCAGATACTTTTTGGTTTACAGCCCCAAAATTATCTGATACTGCTTCTACTGAGGGGTGAAGTCTGTGCCTTCTCCCCTTACATTTACACTCCTCTCTGTCTGACCAACAGAATTTGCTCAAGTGATGCCTTATCACTTTCTAACCTCAGGCAATAAGAAACTGACAACTTCCACTTCCTGTTTCTTGGGGCACTTGCTCTTGGAACTCAGCCACCAGGCTGTGAGGAAGCCTAAGCTTCCCTGTGGAGAGAAAATAGCAGGCATCAACTTGTCAGCCAGCAATAGCTGTAATAAAAGTAGATCCCACAGTCCCAACTGATGCTGCATTGGGCAAAGATGAGCTGTCTCTGATGAAAACTGCCTGAATTGTACGACAGATCCCTAAACAAAAGAAATGAGTGTTGTTTTCAGCCACTAAGCTTTGGGTTATTTGTTACATAGCAATAGTAACTGGAAGCCTGCTGCATAGTGTAATTGTGAAGATTAAACAATATTAATATGTGAAGCATTCAGAAGAGTGTCTACACAAAAGTGAGCACTGTATTTTAGTCATAATCACAACAGACCTGCATTATTCAGTATGATAGCCACTAGCCACATGTAGCTATTTAAATTTAAGCCAAATGAATTTAAATAAAGTTAAAAATTCAGTTCCTCAGTTACATTAGCCACATCTCAAGTGCCCGGTGGCCATGTGTGGCTAACTGCTACCATACTGGATGGGCCAGATAAAGAACATTCCCACCAACCCAGAAAGTTTTCTTGGACATCCCTGTTGTGCATTATAAAGAATAGCTAAAAAGAAAAATGCAGAGTGGAGAATATACTGTGATTTACCTTAACAATTCAATAAAGGATAGCTTTTAAATAACAAAGTAACTATTCGTAAATGTGTCTAAAACATTTATAAACTTCAGTAGGTTTAGCTTTCCTTCAATTTACACTAATAATTTGCTGAGAAACACTGTATCCCTCCTTCTCTTTCGCCCCTAGGTAAATCATGCCTGAATCACAAATGAATTATTTCGAGTCCAAACAGCAAAGGTTGTTGCATTATTTATAAAAGACAAAAAACAGCAGCACCTGCATGTTTGCAATGAGATAATAAGAACA